ATGTTTTTAACATTTTAAAACATTTATATTGTTAAAAACATCGAGTTTACTGATTTTGAACTATGCTTAATTGATTTTCCTAGTTAGTTTTTTCAATTAAAAGGGCTCAAATGCGCCTTAAAAACCATCGTTCAAAAGGCTGAACTGTGCCTTTAAAGATCACCACCTGACAAAAGTTTGAACCAGCCATACGCTGGCTATTTATTTGTATTTCAAAGATTTTTTGTGCTTGGGAAACTACAGAGGAATCACAAATCGGTATTGAATAATTCAGACATAAAAAAGGCCTTCGGCTACTTACTCCAGACATAGCGGCTCCGCTCGTAACGTCGAAAGTCAGCTTCAACTACCCCCTATCTATTACTATATAGGGGGTGGGATGGGGGGGGGGGTCATTTACTGATACCTCCCCCCCACCGCCTCCTATTTATTACTATATAGGGGCTGGGGTCATTTACTGATATCTTTCTTGTTGTATCATTGCTATCAAATTTAAGGTCGTTTTCCACGGAGCGGTTAAGATACCACGGTTCCGGTTTACGGGTACGAGTATATCGCCATTTTGTTTACCAATTTCTGCTGATGTCAGCATTTTTACCCGTAATTTCTACCCGTTTCTTCGCGGTAAACCGTTGTCTACACGTAAAAGACAAACGGGTACGGGTGTCTTCTGTTTACTATTTGTGGGCCGTTCAAATAGTAAAAAATTTCAATATCTTAGCCAAATAAATACTGCACATATACTAGTACTTGTCAAAGTTTTCAACAATCAATGAAGAACCCCAACAGCGAAAGTTGCCACTCTCTGATCGGTTTTCTCACGCCGGAATATCTTGGATTTCTTAAGTGACAAGTCGTTCCACGATTTACGGGTACGTGTATATCACTCGTACCCGTAAACCGGAACCAGGGTATCTTAACCTCTCTTTTGTCTTGTGATTTCTCGGGTGGAACTAATTAGAAAAGACAAAGAGAAATTCCGCTCCGCGCGCAAAATTCCGCCTAGTGGAAAACCGGCTTTATGCGATTTAAAAATGCCGCTCGAAATCGCATTTTTCCACCCTTGGGAATTGTATGTATAAAGCTATTGTCTGAGTATTGAAATTATTCTCATTTGGGTCAAATTTAAGTCGCTTGAATCAAGATGGCACAACGCAGGTGTATGCATCAAGCAAGCTTAAATTTCTACTCGCAATTTTGCATCAAAATTGAGTGGTTAAACCATCTTACAGAACTGGACGTTTGCAGACTGAACTCGCAAATGCAATACTTTCCCAAATGGGCAGCAAGCATTTGGGCAAATGTTCGAAAATTGGAAGACTATTTAAATCCTAAAAGTGGAAAAATGCACTTTCAACTGACCACTATAAATTAGATCGTATTTGGTCATTTTTTATCGCAATGATTCCATAAAGATATGTCATTTGACAGCTAAAAGCCCAAGTAGTGGAAAGAGTCTGGGTAGGGTTAAAATATAACCTGCTGTTTTAGTTTGTGTATTTCTGCATGTCTGTTTATTTCAAAACCTCAGATAAGTAAACTCCTACTGAGGCCCGTTTCATACGCCGTACTTCACATGTGCCGAATACATTAAAGACAATAGATAATGAGCTGAAATGCCTCATTACCAATAATATTGTTTTTAATGTATTCGGCACATGTGAAGTACGGCGTATGAAACAGGCCTGATCCGGACAAGATCGCTGAAGAAATATTTTCAAATTTATAGACAAGCTGTCATGAAGTTTGCTTTGAATTTTAGGATAACCTATAGGGTTAAGCTAACCCAGCTTGAACAACCGGCCCAAGATCTTTATAAGTACGAAAACCTATATAAACGTAATAATTAACACACGATAACCTGTCAAACTTGGATTATCTTTTTTATACACCCTGTATATCGTATATTAGACAGAATCCATGTAAAGAAACAATGATATGATATAAACCCGAACTTTAAAATCTGGACTTGAATATATTATGACGTATGAAACACTCAAGTCAATAAAATTTCTGATCGATGGAGCAACGTATGGGGATTGGGGAAACGTGTATTGTTACTATTTTCACCTCAAAATAAACATAGATTAACCAAATAAATACATTTATAAATATATATTATATTAAAATCGAAAGATTGTCTCAAGATTGCATTACTTTGGTTTTTACAGAAAGATTGTGTCAAGATAACTTTATTTTTTTACGTTGATTTAATCAAAGCCATTTTGTAAATCTTCCTCGACTGCTTCATCTAAAATTTCTCCTTCGTCTTCGCTGCCTCCAGCATCGCCATTAGTGATGACTTTATGTTGCACACCACGCTCTAGAGGAATATCTAGTGCTTTGTGGATAACTTCAATAGTTCTTATGTTGACATAGAAAGACATGTTGACGCTTGGGACACGCTGTCGTAGTTCCTGCATTAATGAATATGCCTGTGAAGTGAAACAGACGTCAACGTGAGGCAAGGAATGTTTGGTTAAAGGCTGGTTACCATTACATCCGCTTAAAAGTCGGTTTCCATTACGACACTATGAGCATGCATCGTAAAGTTATCGCGTGACCACGAGCGGCTCACTTGTGACGCGCGCATGCACGCTTTGAATGTTGACCGCGCAACCGAATTGTGCGCTTCCTCCGCGCGCGCAAGCTGGACGTAATGGAAAGCAACCTTTAAGACGCAAGGAAGGCTGAGCGATTTTTGAATTAGAGAGGAAATAAAGAACATTTGGGAATAGTGAAATCACAATTTCACTATTCCCATATTGCACATGTAAATCCGAAAGCTGGACAAACCTTAGAGTAGTTCTGTTGTCTTGCTAAATGCTCAACCATGATTCCATAAACATCTCCTATCCGTACTGCCGTCTCAATATCAGGTTCCTCCAATAATATTTGACATTGCTTTATCGCTTCATCTGCATCATCTTCATATGACCTGGATCATAGTTGAAGCACATATGTTTTACGACAAGAAATGTTGTTCTCCTCTTGCAGATAAGGCAGAAGATTCACAGTTAAACAATTATATTCCAGACAGCTCTCTAATACGGATAGCTCTCTAATACGGATACCTCTCTAATACGGAGAGCTCTCTAATACCGACATCTCTCTTACAAACACCTCTCTAATATAGCTCTCAAATACAAGCACCTCTCTAATACAAGCACCTCTCTAATACAAGCACCTCTCTAATACAAGCACCTACAAGATACCTCTAATACGGACACCTCTCTAATTCTGAAACCTCTCTAATACAGACACCTCTCTAATACGGACGCCTTGGGTTCCATGTATGTATGTATGTATGTATGTATGTATGTATGTATGTATGTATGTATGTATGTATGTATGTAAAACTTTATTTCAATAGGCTAACTTCGACAATTATTTACACCTGGTTTCCACGAAGGGCGTATACACACAAAGAGCTAAATGTTAATTATATATAGAACAAAATAT